CGAGGCGTAGGTCCTTCTGTAGGTGTACTTGTTTAGCGTTGGGCAGTATTGTAGAATTGTTCACCTCTGTGTGTGACGCTCTGTATCTAACGAAGCATGTGTCTTTCATTTATTGTTCGACATATGGTGCAGTACATTTTTTGTATCTAACGAAGCATGTGTCTTTCATGTTCGACATATGGTGCAGTACATTTTAATCGCCCTAACTGCAGCGTCTAATTTATCATATATTATGTTTTCCTTTGCCACCTCCACTTCATTTGCTCTCATATAATAATGCTTAGTTTGCTCGCCAGTGTTTCGATATGTTCGATTTGGGTAGTACATTTCCTTTGAGTCTACTTTTATTTGTTACAGTGGCACGTGTTTCCTTGTCAGATGTTTGCAGACTACCACGCTCTTTCCTGTTTCTTTACTGTGACTTTTCTTCCCTTGTAAAACTCCAGGTCTGTGGCGCTGTTTCCATCGTGAGCTATATGAATGTCAGAATTTGTGGACTAATTTAATTTCTTCTTCCTCAAATATCGGTACATTTTACATTTCATGATTTCACATGAATCTTATTATCTGTGGAATTGTAGGTTATCAATGTCTTTGGTATAATGAGTTGCTTCTTATTGCCTACAGATAGCACAAATCAACAATGACCTGTTATGGCTGCCAGGAAGCCTGCCTGATGTGTTGCGTAGGATTTTTCAAGGTATTTTTAACGTATTAATGTGACGTTTTCGGTAGTAACTTTTGTAGTTTATACCATTGATATGCTTATTTTTAATACTGTATGTTTAATTAGTTTGAATGATTACGGTTGTTTGTCAAATGTTCGGTCATTTGTTGTGGGCCGGAATGATTTGGCTATAGAAAGTGATGTTGCCCACATCCGTGACAAGTGCAGTGTTCGAATCACTCTGTAGATATGTACCTAATACCTTTATCTATAATATACTAGTTTAGGTGCATTCTAATTAGTGATATAAAGATTTATCTTGCGATGTATTTTGATTATCAGAGTTTCTGTACGTGGCGTTAAAATAGAATGTTTGACAGTTAACGTATTTTATGCATTGTCAGCGACTGTGAAATGAAGAGTATTCCAGTATATTATTTACTTTTTTAGAATGCCAATCCAGGCACCGCAGTGGACTGAGTTCCTGTCGTGCCCTGTGTGTTGCAATGAATTTGACCCCACCGTACGCAGTCCTATCAGCTTAGGATGTGGACATACAGTGTGCAAGACATGCCTTTCGAACTTGCACAGGAAACAATGCCCATTTGACCAGGTGAATTATTATTAATATGCTTTATTATGTTTACTGACATTAATTACAGTATAGGATTGAACAAGCATCTTAAAACACTGTTGCAGGCCAAAGCAGTGTAATGTTTATAATGTTTGTCTAATACCTGTCATGAATTGTCAGGTTGTTTTTAAAGAATTCTGTTGACAAGGTGGTAAAATGCCTAATAAAAAACCAGTTTCTGTTATCTTGAAGATGACCTTGCTTTCAGGCCATTGTTTTCTCACCAGTGTTGTGGAGGGTCCTAGGTCAAAGTATGTATAAGATTCACTCTTTGAAGATCTTTCTTTGTAGGCTGTTTGCATACTGTAACAGGGTGTTAAACTATAACAGCCAAACTGACAGTCACCTATCTAATAAAATACCCTAGTGTGCTAATATTATAGCCCAATACTTGAGCCATGTAGTGAGATAGGTTGCTTTCAAGTAATCACCCTGAGAACTAAAAAGCTGATGTTGGTTGCAGCATTCTACCTTCCACCATAGGCAATCATGTCATTGTTGACAAAAATAAGGTAGAATGGTATACAGCAGCTTTATTGTGCTGTTGGCTGCACTGCAACACTAGGAGAAAGAGTGAATTGTCTCTGTATTGAAGTATTTTAAAAGAATTTAAAAGCATCATAATTTAGATATAGTAGGATAATAATGCCGGCCACAGTAGCCACGCGGTCTGAGGCATGGTCGTCATGCGCCTGGCCACTGAAACCGTGGGTTCGAGTCCCACTCAAGTCATGGATATTTGTCCGCGTCTCCTCTTCCAGTCTGGTAGGTAAAGACTGGCCATGGAAGGAAGTGCGAACCCACCATGGTACTTTTGCATGAGCGCCCCAAAAGGGATCACGATGGTCAGGTATTGACCAGAGACGACTAAAGAAAAAGGATAATAATAGGATGAGTTTCATTTATAAAATACAGGTTTGATTCTTCTTTTTCCAATTTGTTCAAAATATAAGCAATATTTGTTAACAGCATGAACAGGCATATATTTGCCACATCAGTATTTACTAACCTACTTAACTGTACACTCATTACTTCACAAATGTTTGTTTAATAGAGTGTTCACTGTGTGGTTCTTGCTGTCTGGCTTAAGATGACATATTTCCATTTTCAGACAAGCATAAATACAGACATAGAGAACCTTCCGATCAACTTCGCATTGTTGCAGTTAGTAGGAACTATTGTTCCTGAGACTGAAGGAAATGGAAATATAAAACATCTCACAAAGGAAGATTTGAAAAGTTATTTGCAAGCAAAGAAATGCATAGAAGAATTAGCTTTGTATCTAAAACCATTTTCGTCAAGTGAGTATGCAAATCAGAACTCTATAGGCTGATTTTCTAGCACTCTTAAATTACACATTATTTTATATTTCAGTATTCTTACGATGTCTGTGCATTTATGCTAATTTATATTGTTTACCCTTAGAAGTATGTTTCAATTTAATGTAATTTTTAACAAACTAATTTAAATTTACTGTTTCTTCATGTGAAGCTGAGAGTGGATTTTAGTGTTTTAGTTACTGTGAAGTATTTTACACAGATTTGTAGTCCTGAATAATAAAGACAATTATATATTATTATGCACAGACAGTGGTTGTGATAAATGTAATGTCTTTTGATTCCAACATTTGGATTTAGATTCAATTCTTTCTATATTTTTTTCAAAGAAAATAATCCTTTGTAAATCAAAACTTGATTAACCTATAGAGAAATTTCACATTACTTATTAAGATTTTACATTTCTCTTTGGGAAAGGGTGTTGGCCATTTGAACTGTACAAACTTGACTCAAGAAAAATTTATCTTTGAAGATATAGCAATATTCATGAGCTTTGGCCAAAAACTTTCAAAACTGAATGCACAAAAACAAAGCTACTATTCTTAAAAAGGCAGAAGTTTTATTCCCTACAGAGTAGGCTTCTTGGGCATGTGTGCACTTGTTTCACTGTTCCAGCCAGTTCTTGCAGAAGTTCACATACTAATTGTAATTCAGCCACTGCTTGTTACAGTGTGTTCAGTTCCTCCACATCAATTCTGTGTCATTTTTTTCTTTTCTTTTTTGTGCGTGTAAAGTTCAGGAATAGAAAGTCACAGGGAACCAAATCTAGTGAGCAGGGAAGCTATGCCACTTGCCGGTTGCTGGGCTGAATGGGAATAGTACATTTCTGTGATGAATTTGTTTCCTGGTTTTTCATTTGTGTGGCCGTTTATGTTGTACTGTATTACAGAGACATCTCACCACTCGTAAATGTAGATGTAACCTGGCCATGAGGAACATACTGTCATTCATTATCGAAGAAAGGAATCAGTATCGCTTTGATTTTGATCCGCACTTGGCACGATTTGTTTGTCACGTCAAGGAAGGGGGTTCCATTGATTTATGCTTCTTGGTTTCTAGGTCGTGACCATAGATTGTGTTTCACCCTCCATTTATGATATTTTTTAACAAGTGTAATTAATTTGTTGAGTATTCAAGTAAGCTAGAAACCACAGCAATTGTGGTAGGAACTTGGCTGAAATGTACTTCATTCCAGAGCAGTTAAAATGGCCTGACATGAACCACAGGAAATTCTTTCCTCTTCAGCCATGTCGTGAATATTTTTTTATAATTTTGAAGTATGCTAAGTGCTTTTGCTATAGGCTCTTTATTTTTAGTGGTGTAAGGGTGTTCATGGTTTCTTGTGTTCAACGGACACTTTTCTGTTTTTAAATTGATATGACCACTGTAGCAGTATAACTAAGAAACCTATGCACTGTTTATTGTTCATCTTCATATGGTTTTTTTATCAAATGGTATGTAAGTTAATGCATCTTCTTCTTCTATGGCTCTCCGGTCCGTATTCGGTCCATGGCCTCCTCAATTCTCCTCTTCCATTCGGTCCTCTGTTAGGTCCGTCTGTCCAAGGCTTTGATCGAGTTTTCGAAACATCTTCCTTTTTACGGTGCAAGGTTGTTAGCCTTGCGACCAACCCCCAACCTGGAGGACCAGGGTACCTGTCTTAGTCTGACCTCTCCCCCTCGACCAATCTGGCTAGGGGAGGCCCTACCAGTAGCTATTGGGGTCACTGAGGTACTCAAGCCCCACCACCACGACACGGTGCAGGTACCATTTAGTGGGGAGTTAATGCATAGTGTTGTGTATTGTCAAGTACCATTTAATCACTCTAACCATGAACTGAAACAGTGCAATGAGCTCCAACCATGTCATATCACTGTGCAGGTCAGTTTATTTCAGAAATGATCTCAGTCTCATCATTTCTTGATTGGACCAATGAACCATCTTTAAACAGTAACAGGATGTTTGAAACAACAGTATTCAAAGAGCTAAGCTTTCACATTCCATTTTAATATATCTTACGCAAGTTCTTATGAACCAAATAGTTGACTTATTGCAATACTGCCACCTTCATGAAGATACAGAATTTTGTCTTCTTCAAATATATGTAGCATTTGCCAGATCATTAAATTACTCCAATCCTAGATGATTCCTCTTGTTATCAGTACTTGTATTTTATAATTATTTCTGAAGTTTAGACTTTATATCGTATTCTTCAATCCTGCAGAATGTTCCTTCTTTTGTCCATCCATAATACTCTAACTTCTGTGTATACTTTACAATGTTAACAATAAAAGGTACATCTTCCTAAAAGAAATTTGAGATATTATTTGAGTTGACCTTTGTTGCGATAGACACGTGCTATAAGATCCATTGCAGACTAATAATATACTGGGTGTTTAGTATTGCTTAATGAACTTCTGATTTTATTTGGCATCAGTGATTTATTAAAATTATGTTTAGTTGAAATGAGTACTGAACTCACAGTGAGGCAGGAGGTTAGAATTATAGCTTGTTATGGGATTTAAACCAAGTATCTAGAACATGCGAGGTCAAATATGTAGAGAGCATAGTGTGTAATTAAAATTTGTAATGTATTTTGCTTTGTTAAATCATATTTTGTGTTATGAAAAGTACTGTCTTATATTGAAGTATCAAAATATCTTTAACTACTGCCTTACACGACACGTTTCTGATATACTACTATGAAAAGTACTGTCTTATATTGAAGTGTTAAAATATCTTGAACTACTGCCTTACACGACACTTTTCTGATATACTAGGTGTAAATGACATATTTAAAGTTAACTTGAATTGTTTCTTACTGAATAACCTCCTTAGGGAGGTTAGGTGTTTGATGTGAAACTGCCATTGTATAATTGTTACTGTATTTTGTAGGCAATGGGAGTGGAGGGACAAGCGTTCTCTCCAGACCAATGCAACGTAAATTGGTATCATTGATCAACTGCCAACTGATGGAGGAGGAGGGGCGGTCCCGTGCAATGCGAGCAGCACGATCACTTGGGGAGCGAACTGTGACAGAACTCATTCTTCAGCATCAGAATCCACAGCAACTCTCAGCGAACCTTTGGGCTGCAGTTCGTGCCAGAGGTTGCCAGTTTCTAGGACCAGGTAGTGTTATGTATCTTTTATAGGTTGGATTAGTTTCTTGTTCTTTTGTTGTTCTGGGCTTACATTTAATTGCATAGTAGAATTAAAGCCTCTGATGGGACATGGGCATCCGTTCTCTAATGCATGCAGTAATATTTTTTTGGCCATACTAATTCCAGTCACCTGCCAGTCAGTTCATCCCAGCTTCAAAGACTGTTGTTGTTGATGTGAAAAATAAATTCATTCATTTATAGGTTTTACTTTGGCAATGGATACATCTATTCCACCTCTGTACATTTCTCTCAAGCGCTGTCCTTATCTTTTGTTTCTCATTTTCTGTTCCTTTCCCCTCCCCTTTCTTCTTCTTTTTATTTTTCCTTCTGTTCCTCGTGGCCTTCAGCTTCCATGAAGGTTTCTCACTGTACGAGACTTTTCACTCTTTCTTCACCTCGGAAAGAGATTGCCACTTTAGCCCTTTAAAAGATGAAGCTCATTTAAATAATATTTAAAAATGTAGTTCTAACCTTAGTGAATATATAATGCATTTTCATTGCAAAAATCAGTTAGGTTATTCTCTTTAAGGAAGTTATCACTGTTTATTATGAGAAGCATAGAAAACCCATAAATACATACTTCTTGATATAAATGCGAGTACAGAATACAGCATTGTTCTTGCTCAAGACTTAAAAAAGCAGTGAACAGTGTACGTACACATTAAAGCTAGAAGAAATATTTCACAATACAGTAAACTCCTGAGTATCCAGGATAATGAAAGGGGGAAGACGCATGAATAATAAAAAAACGTGGGTGATCCAGAATATTTTCTTTGATGCATTCACAGAACTACATATTTTTTTAATGCAAACTGACATTATTTTGAGAAATAGTTTGTAATGATGGTTAGTAGACAGGTTATATAGCCAGTTTTTCTGGATACAAAATGTTATCTCCGAATGATGTATTATATTTAGTGATTTTTGGTTCATTCATTGAAATAACCAAGTTTAAGTCGCAAGTTGTCTTCTTTGCAACATTTTAAGTAAATAAATATCTTCCTTTTGCATATATTTAAGTACCTGACTGCTCCTTACATGTCTGAGTGAAAGATAATCTCATCCATCGTCTTCATTTTCTTTCTTTCTCATAATACTTTGAATAATGTAATGATTGATGATGATGATGATAATAATAATAATAATAATAATAAGAATAATAAGTACTGCTGAAAATGTAGCTGCAACCTCTTGTGTGTATTTGTTCTTCTTAAAAGAAGAAAGATGTGGACAGGACAGAACTAAGATACCTGTTAACAGTGAAAATGTATAAAACGTATATTATTAAAAGGAAAGAAAAATAACACAACTTGCCAATTGCTATCACCGTAAAGTTATAGATAAAAAATGCAACTTGAAAGAACAACATTAATTATAACATGGACAATTGTCAGTGTTCTTTACTAATTTTGGGGCGCTGATTTCAAATATGACCTTGTAAAACACCTAACACGTAAGATTTTTTTGATACGATAACTTTTACTTTTTCTTGTTTCCGTATGAAGTACAAAGTTTAGCCTACTACTAATGTCATTTTTATGGGTTTATTTACAAAGCTGCTGGTAGTTTTCTTCCTTTCGCTTTCCAAGGAAACCTTTCACCACAGATACAAAAGATTTCCATGCTGCGAGTTCTTTAGCAGAGAGTCTGGCTTCAAAATTTCCATCGTCCAACAGTTATCTGATCTGAGGCCTGACAAAAATTCCTTCCTTCAACATGGCATCTCTAAGATTCAGAAAAATTCCCCTCAGATATTTGAATCTTTCTCCTTCCTTGTCCATTTCTTTAACAAAATTTTTGATAAGTCCTAGTTTAATATGAAGTGGTGGTAAGAGAACATTTTGTGGGTCAACCAAAGGCTTGAACTTGATATTACTTTTTCCCGGAATTAATTCATTTCTTCCTGGCCAGTCTTTTGTTTCACAGTGCCTCTCTGTTGCTCTACTGTCCCACATTCAGAGGAAACAGCAGTATTTAGTGAATCCCCCTTGGAGACTGAGTAACAACGCTATGACCTTAAAATCACCGCATAGCTGCCACTTGTGTTCCTCGTACTTCACACTTTTGATGATTCTTTCAATATTTTCATAATATTGTTTTAGGCCCACAGAATATGCTACTGGAACTGAAGCTTTTTCATTCCCATTGTGTAACAGCACGGCCCTCAAGCTGAACTTTGACGAATCTATAAGTAGTCGCGTTTCTTTGTTTTAGGCCCACAGAATATGCTACTGGAACTGAAGCTTTTTCATTCCCATTGTGTAACAGCACGGCCCTCAAGCTGAACTTTGACGAATCTATAAGTAGTCGCCTTTCTTTTTGGATCATAAATGACTCCTATTTCTATCATAAGGCCATTAATGTCATTACAATGACATTTGCTTAAACGTCAAAACTCACACTTAAAGTGAGGTTATGGGAGACTGCCAGTGTAGCCAACCTGCAAAAAAAATCTCTATGGAATCAAGAAATTCACTCATTTGGTAAACGTTAAGGCAAAATAACACAAAAATGGTATGTGATGGAAAATTTCAAGGCCATATTTGAATTTTGCGCAAAAAATACAATGTGAAATATTGTTGACCAGTTTTTATAGTCTTGGGTTGTGGTTTTGTGGTTTATGATGCTATGTAGTCTTGTGGCTTCTCTCAACTTTCCAGAATGTGATAACTATAAAACTACATTGTCATGACCTAGAAGACTACAGTCCAAATTGTAACTGCCATGAAAACCTCAGCTCTAATCTTTGCAGTTTTCATTGTATGTGAGGAGTAACAAAATGTACTCTGTGTTTTTAAAATGTATTGATGTACTGTATTTTGGCAGCAATGCAAGAGGAGGTCCTGAAGTTGGTTTTGCTGGCTTTGGAAGATGGCACTGCTCTGTCTCGGAAAGTTTTGGTCATGTTTGTAGTCCAGAGATTGGAACCACATTTTCCACAAGCCTCTAAGACCAGCATTGGTCATGTGGTTCAACTTCTGTATAGAGCATCATGTTTTAAGGTAGGACATAATATTTTGTAAGAGTAATGCATATATTCAAAGTCACAGCAACATAGAAATACGGACACTCTTGAAATGAAATATCTGTGTCGTCAGGTATTTCCATTCAATATTTATATAAAATCAGATAAGGTAATGGCTACATGAACATTGAAAATTTGTGGAAAAAAAGGAATGTAAAATAATTGTTTTAGTAAGGAGAATGCAGTGGACAGAAATAAATATATATTTCTGAGGTAATAATTTATTAACCAAATAACAAGCTGCTTAGCTCAATCAGTGTAGTGACTTGACTAGAGGCTGGACAATCAGGGTTTCATCCCCGACATGGACAGAGGATTTTCTTCTATCCTCTGTGTCTAGACTGGTTCTGGGTTCCACCATTTTTCTGTATAAAGGGTATTGGGGCTAAGGGTGGCTTGGGTGTGGTGCTGACCGCTAACTCCATCCAGTGCCAAGGTTGAGAATGAGTAGGAGCTATGTCTTCTCTTCCCCTGAGCACCTACATGGCATGGAGTGGGATAGCGTTCCCCATTAATGGTCCATGCATGGTGTTTGTACATTGCTGACAAGAAATATACAAAACTTTTGTGTTTGATATTTTGCATTTGTTACAAAGGAAAAACCACTGTAAAATTTGAAAGAACATCATATTTTAAGATTGTAGAGGTAGCAAATTTATATTAAAAGTTGGAAGGAATAGCTGAAATTTGAAAGTCAGGAACAAGAAAGAAAACTTATTTACATGAGGTGATATTTTGAATTAATTGCATGTTATGTAAGATACTTATCCGTACTGCATACTTCCTCAGGTAGACATTTATCAATTGAAGATTGAGGTAAGGTGGGCCCAGTGGTAGTGAAAATAGTTCTGGATGTTCAGGTTTTATAAAAGCAGACGGTTTATTGAAAAAGTGTCAATCACTTGTGGACAGAAGTCCTTGTAGCTTGAAATTTCTGTTTGTAAGGTTGTTGGTTTATGAGCCGGGATAGCTCAGTCAGTATAGTGACTAGCTACGGGCTGGATGACTGGGGTTCGATCCCCGATGGGGGCAGAGGATTTTTTCTCTAGCCTCTGCGTCCAGACCGGCTCTGGGCCCACCCAGCCTCCTCTACAGTGGGTACCGGGGTCCTTTCCCGGGGGTAAAGCCGGCCGGGGCGTGATGCTGACCACTCACCCCCATCTAGTGCCGAGGTCAAGGAAGAGAGGAGCTGTACCTCCACTCACCCCAAACGCCTTTACGGCACGTAGCGGGACAAACTTTACTTAAGGTTGTTGGTTTGTTAAAAATAGCTTGTTTTAATAGGTTATTGTAGCTGGTTGATTGTTTACCGCCTTCCATTGTCAGGCACACTCTCATGGTGTGATACCACAGAGCATCATTGTATAACCAGCAATTGTGTCAAACAAGGATTCCTGTTGAAAAAGACTGAAAATTCTAAAAGTTTGAGAATATCTGTAGTGTTGTAGAGTAGTGGAGTTGGATTTCCGGTTTCTGGCCCCTCAGCGTTTCTGTTGAGCATTGATTTATTGTTTTCTTAATAAATTATAGGTTTCGAAGAGAGAAGGCGATTCATCATTAATGCAACTGAAAGAGGAATTTCGTACTTACGAAGCTTTGCGACGGGAGCATGATGCACAGATCGTTCAGATTGCAACTGAGGCAGGGCTTCGCATTGCTCCAGACCAGTGGTCAGCTTTATTGTATGGTGACATGGCTCATAAGTCACATATGCAAAGCATTATTGACAAACTACAGAGTCCACAATCTTTTGCTCAGTCAGTACAGGAACTAGTGATTGCTTTGCAAAGAACAGGAGACCCTGGTAATTTATCAGTAATCAGATTGCATCTGGAACTTCTGGCTGCAGTTGATCCAAGTCCAGGTATGCAGAAAGTGGATTTTATAATTGATCATTATTCTTCATGTCTATTTTTGTCAGTTGCACTTTTTGATGGTATTGCCCAGGTAGAATGGAAGCAAAAGAATTATAAAAACAACTTTGTTAAATAATGGCAATCTAAAAAAAATTTCAGACAGAAACTCATTCAAGTTAATATAGGCTAAACAATAGACAGCATGGCTTTTTTAATAAAAGTCACAAATCCTGCTTTCCTGTTGTTAGATCTTCTGTCTGCTATTTGCAAAGGTCAAAGATCATATTTGCATGATACACATAGTAGCTTCTGATAATTAGTGCTATCTCTAAGATAGATATCATAAATTTAAAATCTATAGGTAAGAGCAAATGCTCCAGAATTGTCTGTTTTACCTCTACAAGAATTGTTACCTGGACTCTGTTAAGTATTGTTCCCATCTCAAAATGTTGGGATGGCCACCATTAGCAGAATGTTCATGCCAAAATTTATAAAATGTGGTAAACCAAACTGACCAACATGTTATCTGTGTGCATGCCCCCTTTTCAACTTTTGAATCAATTAACTGATTTTCGCAAATTTTGGTATGAGTGTTACTGTGCCACTGGAGGCCACTCTAACGTCACGCACTTCTAATTTTCTAGTCGGCAGTAACAAAATGGTGATGCATGGGTCTGTAAGGTTGGCACAGTACATCTCAACTTAATATTGGTTATTGGTGTGATGTCTGATGATAAATCTTGAAAAACTTTTCATAGGGGATTTGTGTGGGGGGGATATTTTAACAATAACAAATGGACCATTCGAGCTGCACATTGAATTTTGATATGGAGATAGATTATAAACGTGCTTACAAATTATGTGTGAAGTATTCTTCATATGCTAACAATAAATGTCTGTAGGATTTGAGGTTTTCACGGTGGTGAGTCTGAAGACGGCTGTCTTCTGGGTTGTTGTGCTGTGTAGTCTGGTAGAAGTTTACCAATGTTTCAGAGGTCCTTTCTGCCTCCATCGTCAGGTTGGTAAACTTCTACCAGACTACACAATGCAAAAACCCAGAAGACGGTCATCTTCGACAAATGTGAAGATAGTGTGTGAGGTCACATTTTGTCGTTGCTTTTTGCCAACTTTGTATTTTGAGTTTTTAAATTTTTCCATTTGTATTCATTTCTGCAAACCACAGATTATTTGTATGTATCTGCAGTTTTTAGTGTATGTTCACACAGGAAAAGTCTTGTGTTTCTGGAGCAGAAATGTAGTCTCTCCTGAAAACAGTTTTCTCATTTCCACGTTCACAAGACCTAGACCTAATCCTGAGCCAGTTGGATCCAGTCCAGATTCTTATGGCCTTTTTCTGTTAAATTTTTGTTAATATTTTCTTACCATCTGTGCCTCATAATTTTTCCAAGTGGTCTGTTCCTTTCAGTTTTCCAAGTAAGTTCTTTGTATGTGCTTAGACTTTGATGAGTGTCAGTAGTGATAACATTTTTTTGTAATCCCATTATCTCATTAGGTCTTCACCTTGTATACTGCAATTTTGCCAGTCATGGTGCTTTTCAGTTGTCAAGAGATTAATCTATTTTTTTAGTTCTATAAATAGTCAAGTTTTATTTTATTATTCTAATTTTATAATCATGAAGCTTAATGTTTATATCTTTAGAATCCAGTCCACCGGCATGGTATGAATGTTGTGGAGTTCTTGAGGCTGTAAGAATTGTGGTCACAGGACTTGTAGACTACATCCAACATCATGGTAGTCGCAAATTACAAGAACCTGGGTATTCGCACAATGCCAAGTACAAGATCAGTATGTGTCGAGATCTTACAATCAAGGGGAACTGTCCGCGTGGGACCAATTGCACCTTTGCACACTCTGAAGAAGAGCTGGAGAAGTAGGTGCTAAAGTTCTCATCCATCAGTTACTTATCAGATAGTCCTTATAGTGAATATGACTTATGAATGCAATAATTGTGAAATTTTAACTTAAATGTAGTTATCTTAAGATTGGGGTTCGCAGTGGCTGCGCGGTAAATATGTTATCTTCATTACTTGAGGGTTGTAGAATTAGGGAGCTGAATGTCTTTATAATTATTGCATCTGCTTCAGGTATAGAGCAAAAAACAAGAAGGCAAATACAAGAAATAGCACCGGAGTGAACAAGAGTCAGGAAATGGGGAACAAAGAAGGACAGTGTGGCGAATTTCACAACAATGACAAGGTCTTTGTTCAGACTGATGATATGTTGTATTCCACCACTACTCCAACTATCACACCATCTGCATTTGAGAATTCTGTGTTAAAAGAAGGTATGTAGCTGATGATGCAAAGTTTACTGAAAAGTAAATTATACAGTTATATGCTGCCTGCTGCAAGTAACAGCGGTAGCAAAGTTACCTGGTGATATCTTTCTTGTGTGTAGGATATCTGACATCTAGCCCATCATTGCAAGTTCCTCCACCGGTACCAACAGCCATCCCTCAACCAGGGCTGGAATATAGGTCTTACACTACTCCGTACCCTTCTGCAGATGGGTGTCAGTCAGCATCCGTATATCAGCCTTCTCAGCAGCAGATGTTTGCTCCTACACCTGGGACATTTACTCCAGACATCTACAGGTGCGTTGTGTTATTGGCACGACATATAAGGAAACATAGGCATATTGTATCTTCATGTTCACTCCTTTCCAATTTCAGTGAAAGATCATGTAAACATTATGTCATAGTGGTCTATGCTACATTTGTACTTCTTCCTTTTCTATTATGAGTAATACAACATGGTTGCTATGCAAATATCTGAGGTGGGTGTGGTGTTAATGCTACTTTATGTAGGATCCTGAAATTTTGTTTAGTAACATTGTAATCCTGGGGTCTCGGGTTCGATTTCCGGCGGTGCCCGAATTTATAATTTGTGTTGGGCAAGGCCGCGGTCTAGGCAACACGGAGTTTTCCTCCGGGTGCTTCCCTGGTTTCTCCGTGGCATCCCAACAATTACTCCATTCACACACAGAAGAAGGCAATGGCAAACCACTTCTGGATCATCTGCCAAGAACGTATATGAACAGGTCCCAGTCCGAGAAAAGGATGGAAGGATCCTGTTCATATGGACCTGTCGTCAGACAGAACACTCAATAAAAATAAAACATATGTGATTTGTTTTGTAGAATATAAAACGAACCCGTCTTCCTCCTTGGCCTTCTCTGTTTTGTTATTCTGTCTTCCATTCTTCTTGAGGTCTAATGCCATGTAAATTACAGATCTCATAAATTAAATTTTGATGCTGTTATATATTTTCATATCCATTTGTATTCTCGCAGACTTCACATCTGTGTGCCAACACAGATCTTGCAAGAGTTTTGTAAAATAAGTTTAATTCTATTGTATTTTGTACTCGTGAAGATCCGTTATTTTATTACTGTAGGTACAGGCCGCAATTTTCATTTATTTATATCAGTAGAGATGTGAAATAAAACCTGTTCCAATACAACATGTTGTCTTTGAAACAGTGCTGCACCACACAACATGCTTCTCAGTTCTGGTGGACAAACTTATGCAACATCATCTCAGCCAGATTATGGTTCACCCGTGTCACCAGCAGAGCACCGACCAGTTGAAATTGCTCACAGTGGAAATACATGGGAACAGAACAGTCCAAGCAGTCAGCAGAATTGGCGTCATTCACAGGTTGCTGGAACTTCTGCAACTAAGGTTTGTTGCCCCACGTCTGCTGCCTCCTTGAAATCTCCTCATTGTGCTGGCTCAGTTTCTATCTCATTCCATCCTGATTAGCTCATTTCTTCAGACTTCCCTTCCTGTCACTTTATACAGAGTGAGTCAGAAGTGTGTTTACAAACTTCGTGTGTGTGTTCCGGGATCAAAAATAAGAAAAAAATGTTCCTATGAACATGGGGTCTCAAATGTTTCATTTTTGAAATAATAGCCAAAAATAATTTTCAATGTATGCCTTTATTGCCAAGTATAAAGAAAGGGATGTTTCTCTGTAACAGATGCTCAAAGGTTGCTCCTCCATTCTCCGCACATGCCCGAGCACGACGTACACAAGACTGACGGATTCGTTCGTACACACCAGGGTTTCCTCGAATCATCTGGCATGCATTCTGAACATGTTCCCATAGGTCATTATTGTTTATGGGTGTTGCATACACGACGGACTTCAAGTGACCCAACAGATAAAAGTCCAATGGAGTCAGGTCCGGTGACCTCGGTGGCCATGCTACTGGGCCACCACGCCCAAACCATCGCTGAGGGTACTCTTCATTGAGATGATATCTGATGCGATGGGAGAAGTGTGCTGGGGCTCCGTCGTGCATAAACCAAATTTGTCTTCTTGTAGTCAGTGGTACATCTTTAAGGAGACATGGCAAGTGTCTTCTTAAGAATCACCGATACGAAGGTCCTCTTAGACGCTATGGAAGCGTGTGTGCACCGAAAAGCTTGTCACCAACAATTCCGGCCCAAATGTTAATTGAAAATCTTTGCTGGAAGCTGGATTCACTTTGATATAAAGCCAATTCATTGAAACTTATTTTTGGCTATTATTTCAAAAATGAAACACTTGTGACCCAATGTTAATAGGAACATTTTTTCTTATTTTTGATCCTGAAACATGCACACAAAGTTTGTAAACATACTTCTGACTCACTCTGTATAATCCCTCTGATTTCTAGCATCATCACTTCAGCCCTGAAGATGGAGACAGTACATTTCTGTGAAATTTAGCATCTATTAACCAATTCAGATGGTGCCACAACTCAGAAGAACATTATCATAACCACTGTGAAAACCTCAGATCTCACGATTTGAGGATTGTTGGTAGAAAAATTATGACCACAGGATTAATGTAATAATGCAGCTTTTATTGTCAAATTGTCTTCACCTTCACTTTTAATTTTAATCGTGAATTGTTTCCAAGTTCAGGATATAAAGAGAAACTTTTGAATTTTATTTCTTTCTGTTAACAGTTCACTTTGTTTAAAGCAGAGTCCAATGATCAACGGTATTTCTTCTAGGTAAAGGAGAAAGTGGTCAGAGGAGTACAAATGAATGACATTACAAGAAAGTACAGAATGTCTGGGCTAACTGGCATTCCTTAAGGACAGGCGAAAGATTTAAAAGAATATGATAAAAATGAAATTGAGCTGCAGAGGGAAACAGTGTGGACTGCGGGTTACAAAAAAGTCCCTGAGGAGTTCATAGAAATGAGAACAGAGTCAGTGGTGTCTGATTGAGCAAAATTTGCTAATTCATTTAAAGAAAAATGAAGTTTTGGCTCTGTGAAATGTGAGCTGGTTGGATAGAGAGGGAATAAGCATTTACAGATTGTATTGTGCAAGGGAAGTACAGAGTTACAGGCCTAAAGTGAAACAAACTGTGATTAGACTTCAGCCATTAGACTTAATTACAGTGCATGGCCACCCCTTGTGAGTGAAGACTCTCATGAATTCTAAATAACGAGTATATATAAAACTGAAATTATCAGTGTTCTCAGTTGTGATGTCATTTTGACATTTAGTTAGGTGCCAGTGTTTCAGAGAAATATACTGTCTCTATCTTCAGGGCTTCAGCCAGTAGATTTTTCCAGAACTTTGGTATCTGCCTACAAGTGCACATGGAGAATAACAAAGTCAATGTCTTCACCTCCACAAGTTCCTCACATCTCACATGAGAGAAATCAGTTAATGAACTCTAGAGGATGGCAATATTCTTGAGAACAGCACTCTGATTGCTGAGATATCAGCTTCTTGTAGTCACGGATATGAAGGTGGCTGTCTTCTGGGGTCTTGTGCTGTGTAGTCTGGCAGAAATTAACCGACATTTTACAGTTGCTTGCTGCTTCCATCGTCAGGTCACCAGAGCACTATGGTGACATTTCTTTACAACAAATATATTTTAATTCATCACATGTCCTAGTTTACACTTAAAATTATTCATTGTCAGGACTGTTTCCATCGTCTTTTCTTTAAAACCACGACGTTTCAGAGGCTGGTTCTGTCTCCATCGTCAGGTGAGAGGTACCTACTCTGTTGGGGTCCCTTAGATAGAGCTAGTCAGACTAGCTCTGACTAAGTGGCATTGTGGCTGGTATGTTGCTCCCAAATGTTGATGACTCCTAAGACTATATTGAATTCTAACACAGAAGACCACAATCAACATATATTTTGTTACCATAGTGCTTCCATTTCACTGCACAAAAGTTCTTATAACCGTTCAAAATCTCAAGAAAAGAAGACTTCTTTACAGTTATCTGTCAATAGATGGATTGTTAGAATGGTTTGTTGTAGTGAGAATCATTTGAGACTACACTTTCAATAAATGAGTGCAATTTAATTAAATGTTAATGTTTTATAGAGGAGGTCATTCACAACACTTTGTTTACATACATTACTCTTTAAATTTTTGGGGCGGTCGCAACACTATCTATATGTAGTTCACTTAAAATCTTGAGGTCACGTACATCATTTCCTCTGTTAACAGAAATTTTGTTGCAAATTAAATTGTGTAGTGGTTTGAATGGTCTGGTTTTACTCGTGTTACAGAGGGTAGCACCGAAGAGCTTAGCAGCATTGCAGCAAAGGAAGCAGGAGATTATCTCTCAGCTGGAAAAGGTTGTTGGGAAGTCGGCTGCATCAGCCATCTCCAGCTCAGCAAGTTCACAGGCCAGAGCTGTATGTACAATGTTTAAAGAAGTGAAAGTAATAGGTAGACGTTTTAAGGTGAACAGGTACACAGGAATATGTTTGTAGTTACTTATCCATGGTAGGCTTAATCATAATCCTACGTAACAGTTTAAAAATATATTGTATATCTTTTATTAGAACTGTGAACCTAAATACTAGGGTTAAAGTGTGAAATATCTCCCAAATATTTTTGTAGTTTTCATGTGTTTTCTGCTTGTTGATGTATTGTCTAGTAATCATAGCGACAAATTGTACTGAACTAAAGTGCACATAGTGTGTACTTTGGCTCCATACTGCACAGTCTCCAGCAGCTGTTCAGTACAAACCCCATACAAAATAGGATTTGATACTTTCGCGGCGAGTACGATCAATAAAATCTTCTCGGGCAATCAGCCGCGTCAATTGGTTACCATAGTAAGCCGACGTTTCAGGAACTAACTCTGTCCCCATCTTCAGGGTTCTGATGTGATTTTATCCTTGGACTTCTGACGATCCAGTCACATCTGAACCCTGAAGATGGGGACAGAGTTAGTTCCTGAAACGTCGGCTTACTATGGTAACCAATTGACGCGGCTGATTGCCAGAGAAGATTTTATTGCTCATACAAAATGCTACAAGGAACAGCCTTTGAGCAGAATGCTATGTGTATGATGCAATCCTTTTATTGAGAAAGCCTGTGTGTGTGATTTGTGTGGTGGGTGACCAGATGTGACTGCTGAGACTGTTGGAACAGATTCATGAAGTTTTTGTTCCTAGTCCATAGAGGTCAGCACATTGTGCAAGTACTGAGCTTCAGCTTTATGAGATAGCATTTTAAACCTTAGACGTTGAGGCTGGTGCAGGCAGTGGCATCAGGTTTGTTCTGAAGTGCTCGAGTATATAAAATAGGACAGTAACTTCTTTTGCGGTGTAGCTGTGTTTCACGTTGGTGGAAAGGTTCGCTGGTGCAGTGTGAGCAGTACAGTCCCACAAACAGGAAACAATTGCACAGACCATTTCTTTACAGGTGACCATTATGGGAATTTCATACCTGGATATGTTACAGAACTTCCCTGTCCCAGAACTCGGTACCAATATAGACAGCAACACAGTGTTCCAGAACATTTGCACACCTCCACATTTCCCCCTAGACATTCACTGTTTCTTTCATGAAGGGTGCCTGCCATCTGTATGCCTGAAGATTCAGATTATGTGAGTCGCAGCATTTTGACAGGCTGGACTACTGTTGGGACATCTGTCATGATACATAAAGAGCATGCATGGGGCATCGTAAAAATGAATATGAGGATTTGCTGTCAATTGATACATGTTTCACAATAATTCCTTCAATAAAATTGTAACTGTAAATTTCTTTAGTTGCTGAGTAAGTTTATAATAAAGTGTATAGTAAAATGATCTGCCCTTCATGTTGCATATGATAGTGTTAACCCAGTGGTAAGTTTGTTTTTCTTTCCCACTTTAACCTTTAACTTACAAGAAACTCATATGCTGGGCTTTTAAATTCTAACACTCCATCCTATGAGAGGCAAAATTTCTTTTACATTCCTATTTGGTGAGGTCTTTTGTGGCTTCGTAGCCTACCAGCACTCTTCGATACATCACAGTTTGTATTCTCATTTAAAATTCCTTGTGTTTTACTTGCACTCTGTTTTGTATCCTCACAGAACAGGTGCGATATTTTATTCTGCAGGAATGAATTGGTCAGTGATTGCTGAAATTAACCTTGTGCCAAATAATGTTCTTCTTTATGGCAGCTGGTTTGCCAATGAGTTGATGTAAACTCTCAGCATTTTCAATCATATTTTGCATGAGAGCAAGTTGGAAATTCCTGTGTATTATTTTGGCACGACAAAGAAGCTGTTCACAGTAGCCTTGTCTAACAGGTGGAAAAATGTCCATGTCCACTGTTGGTCATTCTGACACTTTTGTCAGCCTCTCCCATATATTGGTTATATTCCTGAAAGGTTTTTGTATTCAAAGTACGTATTTCCATGTATGTAATAAAAGTTACAACTTTTTGGGCAACCATACAAAACATTGAACCAGTAAATCACATATCTCAACTACAAAACAAATTGAATTTTGATGACTGAAACCAGACTGCTGAATTTCCAATGTTTCCAGTTGCTTCACAAGAACGTCGGTCTTGCTGTTTATCAGACGCACAGCGTACTACATCCATCCATATTTGTAATTTTTTCCTGTAAGATATGCAGGTTTCATATCAACAGTTTACTTATTATTTCTGTGTCAGACACGTCATCCTGTATGTTTTGTTAATCTTTTAGTACTGTAACATTGACTGTGGTGTCTTAATATGTCTTAATGGTAATTAATGTACATAATTTTTTCATACAGACTTCAGTGTTCCCATCTACAGACAATCTGGCAAACACTGCAACCTATTCCATTTGGACATCGGGAGGAATTCTCCATGCAGGACGAGGAGGAAGTTCTCAGCTGAGTCACATTACAACCACAGGGCATCCATCAACTTTATACAGGTCTGAGATTATTGTCGACTTTTATTATTTTTTTTTATCAGAAGTTCAGTCCGTAAAGATATCTAATGGTGGTAAACAGTACACTGTGAACTACAGAATATGGATAGTGAAGAAGAAAACCAAGTGTTATTTATAGACCTGCAGAACATTAATTCAGTAAGAATTTGTAGCTCCTACTCATTCTTAACCTTGGCACTAGATGTGGGTGAGTGGTCAGCGTCCCCAGGAAAGGACCCTGGTACCCATTGGTTAGGAGGCTGCTAGTCTATTTCCTTTATACTTTTAATGACTTAAGTTATTTTAAATTATTTCTCCATACTTACTGTTTTTCATAATATGTTTTAAAACAATTATTGGACATCATTAATTTGTTAACATTGTTGTGTTAACTTACTGAAGCTGCAAATTGAATTTGTTTATGCTTATGTTTATGTTTAATTGAAGCGGAACTTTCTGAGCGTTTGATCTAATGCCCTGTCATGTCTTTATGATCTTCGATGTTATCTGTGAATCTTAGCAACAGCAAAAATTGTTTATCTTAATCAGCTGTATTAATGTGTGTACATTATTCTGTCACATTTCTCTCCTGATGTTTTGTTGTAAAATATCTTAACCAAATATAATGTTGCTAAGTGTTTCGAGAAATGAAGCGTGTTTAACACATCCCCCAATTTTGGCCAATCAGAGTGCTTGTAGGTGGACTCAGCAGGCCTCAGCCACATAGCGACCCCTTTTATGAGCATTTGTAGCTCAGATGGCTTGCTTTTCACTGCGTGATGTGCATTGTTTGTGGAAACAGCAAACATGTAGTTCCTATATTTGATTAGCTATAACTATTAAGTATCAATTAATTATGGTTTTCATGTAACCACCAAGGAACCACAGTATTTTAACTAAAGGGGGTGCAGAAAGACAAAACCAGATATTAAATTACAGTTAGGTAATTAAATATGGAACATTAAACTTTTTAGTTTTTCTAAAGAAGCTGTCAGTAGGTCAGACTGTAGAGCATTAAATGAGAAACAGATTGAAACAGGAGTAGTCGTGGCCTAATTTAAAGAACTGTCCCAGCATTTACCTAGAGAGACTGGATAACCATGAAAATTTCAGGATAGTTGGTCTTTGGGTTGAGATTTGAACCCAGGACCTGCCGAATATGAATCAAGAGTGATTTGACTTACTATACTTCTAAGACAAACATTGCAGAACCAGGTACTTCTTTAAAGGGTTAAAACGTAATGGTAAGTGATGAGTTTAAACTTAGTATAAATCAAATAATTCATTATTAAATAGCCAAGGTCAGTTGTAACACTTAAAATATAGGGCAGTGAATATGTTTTCTCTCACAACACGAGAAAAACTTAGGTTTAGGGTGCGAAGAGGGTGCTAAGGAGAATATTTCAAACTAAGAGGGATGAAGTAAGAAGAAGGAGGAAATTGTGTAATTATGAGCTCCATAATTTGTGGCCTTCTCAAATAATACTAAGTAAAGCCTTCCCACTATGCACCATGTAGGTCATTGGGGTGACCTTGGCACTAGATGGGGGTGGGCAGTCAGCATTATACCCCGGCCGCTCTTTACCCTCAGGAAAGGACCCTGGTACCCATTCGATAGGAGGCTCTCAAATATTATTAGGATGATGAAATTTAGAATGGAATCAGTAACACATGAAGCATGCAAGGGAGCGATGACAAATGCATATAAAATTTTAGTCAGAAAAGTTAAGGGAACAGGCTGCTTGGGAGACGTGGGCATAGGTAGGTACATTTCTCTGGTAATATTAAAATGGTTGGGTGTGCACTGGATTTATCTGTCTGTGGGTAAGAACTAGTGGACCATTGTGTTTATGGTAATATAGTTTCAGGTTAAATAAGAGCCAGGTGATATCTTAACTCTCTTGACAGATTTAGCTTAACAATGAATTAGAGATGTTTTATTTCATATGTATGCTTTTGTTGGAGTTTTGATGTTAAGAGCTTTGTTATCCATGAATAGAAACTGGTGTATCACATAAACTAGTGTAGATCTTCCATTGTATTTCGTTTTACCAGGGAACTACTGTCGATCTGACTCAGACTTTTGACATTGCATTTTATATGCATTGACAAGAAACATATATCAATATAAAATTCATATCTACTAAATTCTCTTGATAAATAAGTGTTTTCTGTCTCAGTATTTATTTTGTTCTCTATGCAGATCTGACTCAGTATTGGCGGATGATGAGTTCATTCCTTTTGATCCACCAATTGTCAGCAAATATGGTCCAATATCACGAATGTCTAAAACTGTTTTAAGACCAAACAGTTCCGTTCAAGCGTCTGCTTCGTTTGGAGATGGGACAATATCCACTCCCATGGTGAGACGACCTGTGCCTGCAGCTAGTCCTGTTGCATCTTGGTACCTCAATGCCACTCAAGGTAAGATCCAGTAGAATAGTGGAAGGAATACTTTAATTTACACATCAAAGTTCCTTATGTTCATATCATTTCATCACTTAAGTAAAAAGTGACCATATTTTCCAGCTTTTTATCATCTGAAAGTTCTCCTTCCTTTCCAGTATAAGCCTTATGGCCTATTGTGGGCATTATTTAACACAATCCTTCCATCTTTTAAGGGGTCAGCTTAAACATTCTTTCCTTTTGGGTGGTATCCTAAGATCGTTTTTGGTATCCTGCTTGAAATCATTCTGTGTTCATGTTTTTTCCAATTTTTCTGGTACTGTGTTATAAAAGCTGTTATTATTGTAATGTTTAGTTGCTTTTCTACAATGTCCATAAGTTCTTCATTTCTTTTGTGATCAAAAAGTGTGTAATCCAAAGTTCTTCTTATGAAACACATTTCATCTAAAAGTTAAGTACAGTAATTTATCCATTTTTCGATTATACAGGGTGTGTATAAATTATCTTTACAACATTACTTGTGAATAAGCACTGTATAAAAAGGCATAGACACACTGTATGAGCGTCATCTGCGAGAGAAACTTTCAAAGTTTGTTTTGAACATTACATGCATTCAGTATGGGCACCATTTGTTACATGTATAGTGTCTAAACAATATTGAATCTCATCCGTGTACACTGTAGGATGTGAACTATTGCAATAGCATCTGCATTTCTGTTCTTCAAAACACTGATATTCGCCCCAGAGTTTGGTACACACAGTCTTACATCTTTTGACCCGTGTATCCGATTTTGTTTCGATAAACCACTCCATACATTGTGCCTACTCCTGCGGGTTCATGAAACTAACCTGATTCACAAAGACAGATGCAGTGCAATAGAAAACAACTGGCTGCTGTTATCCACCAGAAACTCCATGGAACATTGGAGTTTTGCTCATAGATGACACTCAAACAGTGTCTGTCTTTTCATAAAGGTTTTATTCATGACTAAAGGTATAAAGATAATTTATATACGCTCTGTATATGTTCTGAAAAATGTGTAAATGAAGAATTAATTATCTGTAAGAGCATTCAACACCCAGATGATAAAGAATTGTAGTTATTTGTTTGTGTAAAATGTTTATATAGTTGTATCTAATGTTATGTTAACATTAGATGATAAAGTTGCTCTTGCTGCCTGCGACATGGAGGTCTCCAGCTCTTCACAATGGGTGAGTCAAGGGTTTCCTACTTATTAATAATATTATTATTTCTGAGATGATAAAGTTGCGTCATATTGTGATAAATATATATTTGTTTAAATCTTGTCAGTCTAATCACAATAAAATTCCTATTAAATATTATTATAATTAGCATTTAAATATTTAAAATATATTAAATGATGTTCTCTATCGAAATGTTCCATTTACATTAGAACATCACTTTTTACACGACATGTTTCAGTTCTAAAAGAACCATCTTCAGGTGTATAAAATTATATAAACTTAAATATAATTTCTTAAATGCAACTTTTAGTCAGATGTTTATCAGATTTCAAATGATGTTTTTCTTCCAGATTTTATTGTATTTTAATATTGTATTATGGTAATATTTTAATATTTAATAGAAATTTTATTGTGATTAGACTGACAAGATTAAAACAAATTTATGTTAACATTGTAAGAAACCATAAATACCACGCCATCATCTGTGATTTTGTCTGTTGCTATCCGCATAACTGCATTAAAGTCAAGAATTAAAAGAATTTGAATGAAGAGCTGATACATATTCCACATTCATCCGCTTAAAACGAAAAACCTATAAATTGAAAAGTGAGCAGACTCTTATTTGCTTGAGAATTATGAAAAGTAACAGTCTTTTTAACATGTCCATTAAAGTTAAATATTTCCTTTGAAATCTGAATAAGCCATATGCAGTGCAATTAGGTTACAAAATACTGCTTGATAATTTTTTATTTTTTAAGTCAAACACAGCTTGTTACAATACAAAATATAACACGGTGTCAGGTCAAATGGTTCAGCATCTGCTGCCTCTGCTTGCTGTCACGGCATGACGTAGCTGCCTTCCACAATGTTGTTTTATATTTTATATTATGACGAGTTGTGTTTGACTTTAAAAATAAACATTTCACATAAAGATGTGTCACAAGTAAAGTATTTATTTCTTTGCATTTTATAACACATATTCATTAATCACTGAACAGGTGTTGAATTGTCAACAGGGTAAAAAAATCACTTCTCAAAATAACACAAAAGTTTCTCATCTGTGACATTCGCATAGTTACAGTGCCACGCTGCAGATCACATGACATACAGCAAACAAAACAAGCTAAATAGTGTCAAATGAATATCTTCAAACTTTCCTTTCTTGTACTAACCCTTTCAGTCTTCATAGTGAAGTAGTGAAATGTTTAAGTTGATGTTATCTTGTAAAGAATGCAGTGCATGAAATATATGGGGATTTTATTTTATTAATTTTATAATAATTCTTTCTCAAATATTATAAGTAATGAAAAATGAGTTTCGTAGGACATGTAGCTTGCATGGTAGAGATAAGAAGTGCATACAAAATGTTGGTTTAAAAACCTGAAAGGAAGATACCAATTAGGAGACCAAGTTATAGATGGTGGGATGTTTATTTCTCTGTTTATTCATTTATATTTTATTTAACGACGCTTTTTCAGTAGGTCAGTCTATAGTATTGAGGCAGGATGTTAAAAGTTAATCTCAAATAGGGTGTAAGGATGTAGACTGGAATCATCTGTTTCAGGATAGGGTTCAGTGGTGGACTGTTGTGAACACAGTTTTGAAATTTTTGTCCTGTTAAAGGTGGTTACTTTCTTACTGTTTACTTCTCAAGAAGAACTCTGCTCCATGGATTTAGTTAATTTCATGATAAGAAAATAAGGTGCATAAAAGGTGTTGATTGGCAGTGAATATGCAGGGTGAGCACAAAATAACTTCACTCTTTAAAATGATGCAGAAAACATGGTACGCATGCTTAGAGCTTATCATCTACACCAGTTGATGGAAAAACTCTCCTAGTTTTGTTTCAAATGACTCGGGTTATCTTCGTTGTCGCACTCCTCTGCCGGATGCCACTACTTTTAAAAATGGCTACCCCAAAACACAGGGTGTAGTGTGTTCTGCAGTTAAAGAATAAAGAGCCTTTGACAGCTTTGCAGCGTGCATTTCGCAAACTATTTCACTTGGGACCACCCATCCGAGTATCCATTTACACCTGGTACAATAAATTCGAGCGGAAGGGGTGCATTAGCAAAGGCAATAGTTCTGGTCGGCCCTTTGTTTGTGATGCGTCTATAGACTGTGTCGGACGTTCCTCCGATGCGCCGAACGAGTCGTGAGTTGCAGCTACCACAAACAAATGTCTCCAAAAACCATATAAACGTCGCGTGGTAGAGGCTCTGAAACCAGAAGATTTGGCCTTTCGATATGAATTATATGCGAGATCCTATCCACGATTGACAATGACGACGACGACGACTTGCCTGCAATTTTAATTTTTAGTGACAAGGCGACTTTTCTCATCAACGGTTAAGTGAACCGGCGTAATGTCTGTGTATGGGGAACAGAAAATCTTCGTGTAATCGTTTTACAAGAGAGTGGTTCACCAAAAGTGAATTAGGTCTGTGCTATTTCAAAGTAGGGCTGAAGCACATTCTTGTTGAGAAAATGGCCGATGTTAACATCTGTACCATGCATAAATCTGCCAATCAAATTTCTCATAACTTATTTGTAACATTGCCCTTTCGATGATGTAAGAATAGAATATTTTTCCATTTCTCATGGCTGTTATCTCTTTTGCTTAGTGCTTTGAGAATGACGATTGCTCATCTTCTTCAGGTTACCCGGCTGCAATAGCAAGTGGCCGGCATATCATGGCCCCACCCTCTGCTGGTCTAGGTGATGGTTATATAACTATTGGTCATGGAATCTTGGACCCACCCCAGTTGTTTATGCAGAATAAACCTGCAGACTGTTCAACTAAAGAGTTGAGTATTTGCTGTTTTCAGGTGTTCTGTAAACAGTTTGTAACACTATAAGTTTTATTTGTTGGTCATACTCATTTTTGCCTTGGAACCAAGTGTCTTAGTTTGCTCATTTGTAAACATACGTACATATTTTTTTTTATTTATCTTGAACATTGATTTTATTATGCCTTCGTATTTACAATATTTCTTTTTTTTACGCTAGGCATAGGAGAAGATACTGTTTGAAGATTTCTGTCTTCTGGGTTGTTGCGCTGTGTAGTCTGGTCGATGTTTGCCAACGTTTCAGAGGTCATACTGCCTCCGTCATGAGGGCTATAAATTGCCCTGATGACGGCAGTATGACCTTACAAACGTTGGTAAACATCTACCAGACTACACAGCGCAACAACCCAGAAGACAGAAATCTTCATACTCACCGCTGTGAAAACCTCAAATCTTCCAAAGATACTGTTTCTGTGAAACATAAAATGACATGTTTTATATTATTATTATTAGAAACATTCAGAAACTGTTTAGTTCAGACGTGACAGCCATTGTTTCAAAAATAGTTTTCATATGAAAGAAATGTATGGCAATTCTTTTTCTTTTTTTTTTATGAATTTTTAGTATAGCAGAAGCACACTGTAGTTTCCAGCCTTATTTGCCATCTTTCCTGCCAGTTATTTTTCTTACTGTACTTATAGCATGTACATTTGTATTATATTAATCCATCATATTTTTAATTACTGCATTTAAATTAATAGGAAATTAATCTCTGTTCAACAAATTTTCATTCAATGGTTGACTTTCAAGTTCTGTATTCCTTTCAGGAAATAAGTGACTGTATGTCACAAAGTTATCCTGTTCATATAAAAAATTGTCGGTGTGAAACATTTTTAAAACCTTTTAATATTAACAGCATTTGTAAACATTAATTTTGGGTCCAAGTGACGTACCAAACTTCAAGTTGTGTAAATTTAACATAAACCATTTGAAATTTTAGTTCTGAATGGCATATAAACTGTAATCCAAATTAGGCAATATGAACCTTACTTATGTGTATTAAATAAGCTTAAGAAATAGGTGGAAGTATTAAATTTCACATAAAACCAGCCAAAGTGGAGTCTTTTCATGTGTGTAAATTGAAAATAGTATGTGGTGCATTTGTTCAAATGTTAAGTCACTGAATCAAATGTATGTATTTTTGAACAGTTCACTCATACCCATTCCTATTAATTAAAATTCTTAATGGATTTATAATTTATTTCAGTTTGCTAGTGTTGGCTGACACCCAAAAATTAGGCCTAAAGCAGCAACTACGTAATCTTGAAAAGCAGTTGAATGATTTGAAGGTAAGTTCAGTGTTAAATGTGGCAGAGTCAAAACCTCTGTGAATGTCTAAACATCTCTGAGATGATGCAATACTTTTATGAGTCTTCATGTCTGAGCTTTTGTGGATATGTAAGGAAAGCATGGTCAGAGATTTATTATGCTGTGTCAGTCTGCAAAGAGAGTGAAAGGTCCCATTGTCTGTTCAGTTTGGTGAATTTTGTTATTTTCTGAACTTTAGACACCGGGGTGTTACAGTTTGAAAAGTGGTTTGTTGTTATTATTGTAGTCCTCTATACAGGAAAGTGTATAGATTCACTATTTTAGTTCTTTTATTCTTTTCCTTTTAATTTAGATCTTAATTAGTTTTGTATACAGGTAGCCCTCGATTTGCGCCGATTCAGAATAACGCCGATTTTTAAACCAAGTCAAAAAGTGGAAAAAATATATTTTACTATTATTTATAACGTTTTACAATGTACCTCGTACTGATTCTTATACTAAATCGTATTTCTTACATTGCTGATTTTGAATAAAAATTATACATACAGTCATCTCTGCAATTACGTATTTTTCGGTAACGCGAATTTGCTCCAATGAGATCGATAAATCAGTAAAAGCTGTTTACGGAATGCAAACTTTTGCATATGCGAGTTTGCTCTTATGCAGTTTCATTCCTGGCACTTTAAACTTTCAAAGGACTAATTTAATCTCTGCGGAGGTACCGGGGTTATTTTTACTACTCGATTTTCTATAGGTCGGCGTCTTACATGAATGCAGCTATCGAATAACAGCAGAGATGACTGTACACATCAGTCACATGAAAGAATCGCAGTCAATTGCGGGGACCAACGAATTGCCGATTATAAGTGTATAAAACATATTTTTTTAAATTCCCATTATTTTATTTACGTTATTTCATAGCTTTAAATGTGATGTCATCATATTACTCGTCAATGTTTGGGTGCTGGGAACGCATGTCATTGACTTCCCATTGATTTACATTATAAAAGAGGTTCAATTTACGCCGATTCCGCTTACGCCAGTTCGTCCAGGAACGCATCCCCGCCATAAATCGAGGGCTACCTATATATGTATTAATGGAGATCTGCTCGTGGACTCACATGGCATCGTAGACAGATGGAAAGATTACTTTAGTAAGTTACTAAATACTGAAGATGGCTGTCTTCTGGGTTGTTGCTTTATGTAGTCTGGTAGAAGTTTACTGACGTTTCAGGTGTCCTTGCTACCTCCCTCATCACCCTGATGATGGAGGCAGCAAGGACATGATAACCTCAAATCCTACAAACATCAATGTAATTGATCATGATATTCTTTTGGGTTTGACACCGTGTTGAATGGTTGATAGATGTGTCTGCCAACCAGCCCACGTTGCGCCAGAACCCTAAAGAACATCACATCGCTACCGTGAAAATCTCACATCACTCTAATTGGTGTCTCTGAGTTCAGTAGTCTTTGAAGAATGTACTGCCTGCTCCTGGTGGCAGTGTCTTGAATTAGCAGTGATGAAGGTGGCATATACAGTATAACATTGTGTGTTTTTAGTGAGAAAGTTTTATTAGACTGCTAGTGTTATCAAGAATTGGCATGAATTCTGAGTGGAATTTTAATGTATGAGAGTACCAAGAAGATCTGCAATAAACAGATTAGTTAACAAGTTTTAAGCTATTGGAAGTAGTAAGAATGGTGTTGTTAGTAAGAAATATGTCAAAACACCAGGAAACATTCACTGTATTCAGCAGATGTTGACGCAGAGTCCCAGAAAATATGTAAAACATCTTTCTTAACAACTCAACTTGGGATATCATCAACATACAGGATAATTTATTTCCGTGTTGAATGAAAATGTAGCAAGCCTATCTTCAGGCTGATAAAGTTTGAGAGTTGATTTCTGTTGTGACTTTAAGATGTTTTCTTTATGAATATGAATCTTTAGATTGCAGTGAACTTGTAGTGAACCTTTGGGCTTCATGTAAGCTGGAGAATTTGTTTACTAATTGAGTGTCCATTAGCTTCTCAATGAGGACTGCTCCATGGACTTTGTTAAATATCAGGCATTGGTTATGTGAGGAAGGAATATTTGTACTTTAACTGAAGTTCTAATATAATGCTTTTTCAGCATAAGACTCATGTTAAGTTTTGAAATTAAGCACCAAACACTGTATTGGGTTGAGCAGACCTCATCAGAGTTAACCAGCTGTCTAAAAGTTTGGTGCGGGACAATTGACTTTACTGAAGGCAAATATGGACACAGTTTCATTGAAAATGTATCTACCACTGCACTCTCATGGTACAGATTTCTTGATCCCTGTGTTTGAGATGTCTTGTTAGTGCAGTAATTATTTAGTGTATATACAAATATTGATTATTGTTAATGAATTCTTCTCGGGCCCAAGAGGAATTCATTGTACTTAGTTGCTGTGAAAGCTTTGAATATTGAATTTGTAATTTGTGACGTGTGCGATATTCTTCCAGTTGGCTACCCAAGGTCCGTGTGCAGCTCTCAGTGAGGGGGAAAAATTGACTCATGAGCTACAAATCATTGAGCAAGGGATTCAGGAGAAGGAGAAAGAACTGAGACTGGTATGTGACATCTTGTCAGACTTGCAAATTAATAAAGACAAGCTAGAAAGATAAGATAAGATGTGTGGTGAATCTTGAATGTTTCTCTAGTCTGGACTTAAATGAGGTATTATTTATAGAAAATGAAGACAAGTTTGGTAGTTGCAGATTATTAACACCCTTTTCATTCTTCTTACTGTCACTGTACTGGGATACTGGGAACGACCCGTTCTTCAAGTGCCTGAGCACTGCGGGTCCCAACTTTTTTCGTTGGCTTGATCTATAGACATTCGGTAGGACTCCTTGGATGAGGGATCGGCCTGTCGCAAGGTCTCTACCTGTACACAGGACAGCACAACACAGAAAAACACGGACAAACATCCATGGCTTGAGTGGAATTCGAACCCACGGTCCCAGTGACCAAGCGGCAAAAGGCCCACACCTCAGACCGCACAGCCACTGCGGACCCACTGTCACTGTAGTTTGACTAACTGTCTGTACATAGATTTTCGTAAATTATATGCCTTTATATTCATATGCAACAAAACTAGAAGTCAATGAAAGACAAAGATTAATTTTTAACAAACTTGTAATCAGTTTAGAATGCAAATTGTGTTGGGGTATCAGTTGAATTTCTTATTTACAGGAGACTGAATTCTTGCGCTTATTTGGTTTGACAAATGTACGTTATTAGTGTTCTGTATTTCTGTGTAGAACTGCATCAGCACTATGTCCTGCTGGCTAAACGTATATCCCAATTTTGTTAGACCAAATATCTCTGATGAGACGTGACTGGAAGGGAAGTAGACACCACAAATACCTAAATTTGACTGTCCTAAGGTCAATATACTATCTGACAGTCGGTTTCTTTAGCTCAAAAGTACGGCTCAACCTCACTAATTTGAAACGTGTCCTGGGTGGCTTCTGTATGGAGGGGAAGGGTGTGGATGGTTCTGGGTTAAGTATTGCCTCTTTATACTCAGCTTTTGTGGTTCAGTATAGTCTGTCTGTTGCATTGGTAGTTATTGTATTCAGTGAGGTTTATGGAGGATCTGGGGCATTGGGGGAAATATGGAGTAACATTGAAGTGTGTCTGTTGGAGTCATCATCAAATACCATCAAATTGTGTTATCCCAGCCCATTGTTTAACTAGTTTTTCCACACATCAGGCTGTGTAGCTTGAACTTCATTTCCAGAATCATCTGGTCTCTGCTTCATTGGCGTCAACTACAATCACTGCTATCGGTTGGAAGAGAGATGGAACGGTGAATTGGGGTCTCAAATCATTTGGGGAATACAGGAGTGATGATGTAAGTATGTTTTTTGCTTGTTATTGCAGTCATCATGAACAAGTTTTTTCGCACAGAACATTTGAAACAAATTGGGAGCATTCATTTTATTATCAGGATTTCATGAACTTGGGTTACGTTTTAATGATCGTTTCCTGTAGAGTCAAACATGTATTATGTAGCATGAAACTTAGATCTCTTTGGGCTCTGTGAACCACATCTAATTTTTTTTTTTCCACCCATTAAATACTGAATGAAGTATTCTTGAAACAAATTTTTGTCTTTTAATAAATTGGAAGGTCTGATACATCCAATGGTCAGACATTTTTCATCTTGTTTTATTTAAAGGTCAGTTTTTAAATTTAGAATTTCTTTTTCTTTTTTCCCGCATTTCGGTGAGAACTGAATTTAATTTGTCTGTTGTAGTCTTCTGTGTTGTGATGCTGTGTAGTCTTGTTGATTACCAGAGTTTTGGAGGAACTTATTTCTTCCATCTTCAGGATTGAAGTGAACCTTGAAGATGGAAGTGACATATTTCTCCAGAATGTTGGTAATGATTTTCAAAACTACATTCACAATCTATATGATTGCAGTAAACATCTTTACAACTCCCAAAATGTCAAATTGTATTTATTATTTGCTTTCATAAAATTGCCTAGCTTTCTTTATAAAAATATTTTTCAAGATGTCTGTCTTCCGGGTGATGATGGAGGCAGTATGCTCCTTTCGAAGGCCGATCAATGTATACCAGAATGCATGATGCAACAACCCAGAAGACAGAAATCTTCATACTCACCGCTGTGAGAACCTCAAGTCTTACATTGATTTTCTTCCTTGCGTTCACAGTAATCACATGATCTCTTGTTAAACAGACATCATCCTCAGCATAACTCTAATATGACATGAGTCCCCAATGGTTTAGAAATGCATAGCACCGTTACTAACAACACACAACAAAACTTTGAGCGTTTTATCTTTTCTAGTGAAATTTACAACTAGATAACATGTAGTCATTGTGCTGCTAGTATTATTGGCAATCATAATCATATAATTTAACTCATTTGTCCCTTGTTTTCTCCAAATGAACTCTGAAATAGTGAAATTGCTTATATAATATGACAGTCTTATGAATATATTGAACAATTTTCCGTTGTGTGGCACCACGTACGAATTATGAATTAAATAATTGCCAGGTAATGAACCACGGTGGTCTAGCGGTTAGAACGCTGGCCTTGTAATCCTGGGGTCTCGGGTTCGATTCCCGGCGGTGCTCGAATTTATAACTTGTGTTGGGCAAGGCCGTGGTCTAGGCAACACGGAGTTTTCCTCCGTGGCATCCCAACAATTACTCCATTCACACACAGAAGAAGGCAATGGCAAACCACTTCTGGATCATCTGCCAAGAACGTATATGAACAGGTCCCAGTCCGAGAAAAGGATGGAAGGATCCTGTTCATATGGACCTGTCATCAGACAGAACACTAAATAAATAAATAAAATAAAAATGAAACATCACTTCACATGGATTGCATTTGCATTCATGATAGATCACGTAGCAACAAGACCAGGGGTGAACGAAAGAGGGTAAAATGGACAACACTGTATGAAAGGGTTTGATATTTAACATTATTTGCTTTGGGTGCTGTAAGGCAGGACTTTGACATTACACTTTGTCTTGGTATGCCATTAAGTTTCGGGAAATGCCAGTTGTTTGTGTTCAGTTTTATTGTCTCGTGCAGTGATCCTTATGTTGGAACCCATCATGGAATTATTGGCTGTTGGTACTGAGATATCAAATGTTATGTGTTCAAAGCCACATAGCAGCACAATAGCCGATCATGCTTTAACTTCACAGAATGAAATGATGACATAACAGTTACAGCAAGAATACGGGCTTTGGCGCAGGTCATGTGTATGTGAGGTTCGTGATCTAACATATTTATCGTTCATTGCATTATTTGTTGCAGGTACAAATAATGCCACAAATGTTGCGTGCGCAAAACTTACAGTGATAGTCATAACATTGCAGCTTTGTGAAATGAACTCTTGACTTGGGTTTGATTGTTTTTCCTGATTCATGCTTTCGACTTACTTAGCAATTTCATTACAGACTGTTGGTACTGAAAACATAATCCTTTTACTTTTAAAAAAGTAATTATGGTGTTTGTTGCTTGTGAGTACCTGACTGGTGCTGCTTGCAAACGTAATGCATTATAGCATGACACAACTGTTTCCTCTGATTCCTGATTCACCATCCATAACAATCATATCATCTCAAATTGCCTCATAGCATTTGTGGGAAATAAATATACTGTTTGTACCGTTTTTAGTCATAGTTATCTAAATGCTGTTACAAATATTACATGAAAACTTACGTTACTTCAGATTTAATTGACAAATAGAATCAGAATTGGCAAGCCTGCTTCTTGTTAACTGACAGAACTGAGTACTGTGTGTGCGCACGCGTGCACCATTTTGCTGGTAATGGGACTGCATTACAGGTCTCTAAGATTTAGCACTGTGTTCAATAAATTTGTTGGACTATCATAAGACAGCTCAGTTCACATCTTCAGAACCTACACTGTAAAATCCATTTTAATATTGTCCTCCTCTTTCCTCTGTGTTCCTAGTAGTCTTTTCTCATAGAGGTTTTACATCCAGAATTTGGTATGCATTTGTGGTATTGTCATGTTCTTGGTTTAACCATCCTGTAATTCTTCGTCACATTATTTTCAGCATTGTGATTTCAGACAAATGCAGGGGGAAATGGTGTCTTTATTTATTATAATTTGTGATCAACTGGCTCCAAGTTCTCAGATACATAATTACAATACATTACAACTTGTGGTTTAGAACAGCAATTTCAAGGTGCAGTACAAGGTCACAAATCGCCCCACTACGTTTGTTGTGCCATTTGAAACGGTTTGTTATGCTTTCTTTCAGGAAGATACGTATGAGGCAGGAATTGCTAATGATATGCGTGAATTAGAGATGCGCTTAGAGTTTGAGTTGGAGGAGCAGGAGAAGAGGTGGTCCAGCGAAGAAGAATCGGGCAAGAAATAGGCTTATCATACATATGATGTCTGATGAGACACGTTTTATTATCAACCCAATGGGTTCAGATTATTATGACCAGGATATCCTGATACAAGTGAGAAATAAAACTGGACGCATATGTCTGGGGAAATTATTGTCTGGTTCCATGCATATAGAAGAAAGGGCGTGCTTATTGCTCTGGTTAGTCATAACTTTTAAGTTATGTCTGATACAGTATATGGCACATTCAAACTGAAACAGAAAGATTTCTGGATTAAATATTGAAAGAAATTTCTCTCTTTGATAGTTCTCTTATAAGTGAGACTTTATATACAGGTTATGAAGTACTTCACTTTAAATGTGGAATGGGAAAAAAAAATTAATTTTACATTTTGTGACAGTATTGTATCGTACCATGTTCTCACAACAATGCATTTGTGATCTAAGTTATGTTTCAACAGTGGGAATTTAATGAGTTTAAAAATAATATTTTTTCAAAATAGCCTTTTAATAGCATAGTTAAACAAATCACAGAACATTATTTTTAAATAAAAATTAAATTAGTTTTATACATCATCTTGTTCATTTGTAAAACATTTTATATGAGTACTGTACATTGTTTGCAGATCAGGGGTAGGAAAAAATATATAAATATATGAGTAGGCAGCAAGCAACTTACACTTATAATAGTAACACAGTGGAACACTTTAATGGTGATTGCCTGTGATGTCACAAGGTGATATTTTAGCAATTTTGCAAAGATAAACAACAGCTGACTTGTGTTCTCTGTTGATATTAAACTCTGTAATATGATTCCATTTCCATCAGATTTAGGAATGAAATGGTAAGTTATCTGTCAAAGTAGAGCTGTCAAGAAAACCAAGACATTCAACCAGTGGGAACATTTAGACAAAACAGATTTTTTTCTTCAAAAAAATGAAAAAGCTTTTATTTTTGTTGTGGGATTGTCTTCCGTTAGTCAAACTTACTGAAAATCTGTAACTTCTTATTGTTATTGTGTGGTCATTGATTTCTGTCAAGTTTAAATTTATGACTAAAAAATCAGTTGCTTTTACAATATTATTGTTGTATATAACATGAGATGTCTTCATTTTTAAAAGGAAGCTGCTTCTGAAGAATCATTCCATTCACCCCACCCAATTGGAGAATTTGTGCCCTTGTAAACCAGTTATTCATTTCAAAAATACGTGATTACTTTGGTATTCACATTGTTTCCATAAATTGTTCAATCTTAGGACAGAGTTATACTTCACGTGTTGTAAAGTTTGAAATTACTGCAGTTCACAGGTTTAATAAAACCTGACTTTTACTGTTAGAAACTGAATAATTGTTCCTGAAGAAAGTGTTGTACTTAGGATACTTTATGAACTTGAATGCATGATTACCCAAAATGGTTTAAAAATTGATAACATTAATTCCCCATTTCTTAATTGAAATATTAAGGCATTAGTTTGCCTTTTTGCCAAACACCTGTGTATATGCACTTTTTTTTTTAGGCGTCTTGTATAACAGTGTTACAAGAAGGTAATAGGACAGCATTCTGCAGGAAGGAAACTTTGGCATGTAGATGCATGTCTCTCGACGTTACTGGCCTATAAGTACATAGTACTGTATTTAAACTTTTGGGAAGACAGATTGTTACGAGAGAGAGAGACATCCATTTTTGTGTTGTTATAAGGTTTTATTTTCATCAGAGTTACTGTCTCATATCACCAGACAGGATGTGTGAATGGTGGTGAGTATATGTACTTGAAATTATGTTGTACGTTGTTATTCTTGTTTATAAGCAACAGTTTTCTAATTTGTTGGACTGCAGTTTGTGGTACAAGGCATACTTAATGAATTCAAAACAATTATGTGTTGATACTGTCATCCCCCAGTTTGTTTGGATGATGGTTAGAAATGTACTGTTCCTTCAGGTGTTACATTAACTTCCAGTTCTTAACTATTTCTAGTTATCCATATTACAGAGATATATTTTGGCATCAAATTACTGGTAGTTTCCATAGAGTGTTTCACTGTTTTGTAGTCTTGTGGTTTTTTGTTTATAACAAAAATGATGTACCAGAATGTCTTAGGTCAAAATCCTGTATGTTGTATAATCTTCCAGTTTTATTGGGAGCATATTTATGTGGGATTGCAATAGGTTTACAGTTTCAGTATTAAGGAGAATTTGTTACACGAGTGGTCATTTGTACATAGTGTACAATATCGGTGATGATATATATATATAAAACTTTAAATTATTCATGACTTCAAATATTGAAGAGTCATATGGCTCCTATTTATAGCATGATATATTTTGGGGTGATTTACTTTATATCATGATGGCTGGTTGAATGCATATTGCTTGAGTTGTGGAATTATACGTGATGCATTACATAGTGTGCATTTGTTTAAAAATGCATTTGTATGATGCATTGTAATTTGTGAATGTCATATACTAATACCACATTTAACCCTCTTAAGTGTGGGATATATGTTACAAGATCTATGATCTTTTTGCCACGGTTTTTCATTATGACTAACAGTTTCTTCCCTGTCATATTTGTTAAGATTTGTGACTTTATTTTACTTGTTATTTTTTGTGTTGATTGTTAGTAAAGTTTACTAGCTCTGTTCAAGAGTTCCTGCCAGTCACACTGTTTCAGTTATAGGGCATTAACTTGTGCAGTTGCATAAGAAACACTTTAGTATGATGGTTATATTGAAAATTGGCTATGTGTTTGAAAATATATTTTTTTGTTCTTGCTTACGATACGTACGCTATGCTGTTGAAGGTGCACTGCTGTAAACTGTTTTTTTGTTACTTGCACTGAACTCTGTACTAAGTCCAGTTTGCAGTGAGTATGTGTGATACTTGTTTTAATAGTCCCTCTCTTCATTGCTCAGATGTAAAAATCGTATATTATTCTCGCCATTATGTTTTCATGGTTGTTCAATACTGTTTTTTAAAATTCTTTAAACTAAATGGCAGTTTGTGGGATTAACATTTAGTTGTAGTACTGTAAAGTCTGCAATTAAGACAGTCCAAGTGTGGGTGAATTATTTTACCAGCACTGTAGTTATAGTTAAATAATTGCATGTTAAACATGTTCTTTGTGCAAAGATTGTTCTTTTCCTAGGAACTTTGTGAAGTAAATGTACCTACATCTGTTATACAGTAATTGTATATCCTAGTACACTTCTCCTTTCTTGGGGTCAGAAATTATGTTTGAGTGGAAGAATAAATGATGTATTGAGACGTAGATGAATGATTAAATTGTGATGTCAAAATTTTGATAAGCATGATTCTTGTAAGGTAATCTGAGCACTTCAATACAAAATGGATGACTTACGATTTGATACACAGTAAGAGTGCTGGTCAGTATCGGTAAATTGGTGTGATTGATGCAAAATGCATAGGAATTTACGTTTGATTGATGCCTGTTAATGCTGTCTTGTACATATTTTGAATAAATATGCTAATTATGAATTTAAAATTAAATAGAGCTTCAATCTCTTAACGAAGTGGCCTGTGCTTATCATTTGCTGCAAAGGGTAAAGTAGTACATAACAGATATGTATTAGGATAACCAGTCATTAGTGTCATATATAATTTGTACTGAAAATTATCCAGATCTCTTGATACGGTGGTAAATTTATATAGATATAAATGCGGATTGTCCATTATGGAATTCACAAATTATGTGTTATTGGTGACTTGTAGTTGTGTTTTTAAACTGCATGAAAGTGGTTCTGTGAACCAGTACCACCCAGTTCATTAGACCTGAACTGGCTGGTTGACACATTTCAATCAAATAAATGTTCATATTAAATAGCATTTCTGACAAAAACTTCCACTTCTAAATACAGAGAAAGTAGTTTCTATGAACAAGGACCTTTTTAGAGTTGATATTAAAAGAGGTAACAGTACAAGAAAAGGGAAGAGATGTGTTTCTGTTCCAGTAAGTAACCTGGTCCTTTGGAGTTCGAAACCAGAGAGATGGATGTAGTGTGTTGTGATCATTAAACTACCACCAAAGTGAGAAAGCTGGACCATAAACTTTTACTCTTTCATAGATTTGCTTCCAGTATTTTTATTTCTTCAGAAAACGTGTGTGTGTGTGGAGCCTATATCTTATTTTTGTGATTAAAAGTGGCATCTGAATTTTGATCAGAGGTTTTAAATTAATTTCCCCTTAAGCACCATTTAGATTTATGTTTTTACATTCAAAAGACATTGGTTGCAGCAATTTTGTGACATGCAGTCACTTTGCATGTACTGTCACACATTGTTTGAAAATGCATCTTCTAGTAGAGTGGTCCTTTGATTAGTGGCGGCCCGTTCATAAGAGCTGCAGCACCCCCTATAATTTTTTAAAAAATTAAGAATTTTTTTTTTGTTTATATAATCTGTAACACTTTATTTCCTCTGTATCATTATTTTAATATTGCCTCTTACGTTGTCATTATCCACCAATCGGCTGAACTGACAGTAAGTCCGCGGGCGAGGAGTGGGAAGCAGAAGGGTGTTATCATCTGGCTGCAAGGTTCGCAGCTCTGCTTGCTTGCCACAAGTTGACTGCGCGGTGTGAGGTGGAGTGAGGGGCAGTTCACTGGTACAACGCGTTTCAGGGCTGCAGTTGCCGCAGCCAGCTCATAGTAAACACGCTTGCCGTGCATGTGGATAAGTACTGAAGTGGAAATTTTGGATGTTTTTTGGAATGTCTTAGTTTGATATTTGGTTATGATGTTAATACTGGCTGAGAATCCATGATAATGAAAACATTGATGTAACTAAAATTTAATATTTTGAAGTATCTAGGAATCTGATATTTCTTGATATTGAGAATATTTATTGTTTTGGAAAGGCTTACTCAAAGTAGTTGTTTTATGCACAAAAAGAAGTATCTCACTGACAAAATTGTTACTTCCATAATGGATAATGTTTATCTGGACACAGGAGTTTAATACAAGAATGTATGTATAGTTCATATAAAAAAGTCTCTTCATGACAAAGTTCAGTATAATAATATACAATATTTTCATACCTAAAAGGAAATGTGGAATGAAGGTAAGACATGGTCTGTTAAAATATGGTTTTTAACACAAACAGAAGATTAAAAACATCCTCTAGTCATTATGATATTTATTTTAGGCCATATACTTATGCACTATTACAGTAAAAATAATAGATATTAGTATGAATGTTTTTAATTTAAGAGTATAGTAAAGAGGCATATAATATAAATGTAATGGTTTCATCCTGAGGTCCGTTGAGCATCTAACCCAGGTGAGCAATGTGTACACTTTAGAGAATGACTAACATGTCAGATTAAATATTCTAAGAGATTGTGAAAGCTGAGAAGACATCAGTGTATACGAAATATGCAGATGAATACCTTTAAAATAATCATCTTAGTGAGCAATGCAGTGATAGCAAGCTCATCTGTAATCTCTTAACTAATAGGTCCAGTTTATGAATGAAGTATTTTCTGTAGGGTCCGGTGGGATAAGTGTAAACAACTTTTGTACTGTTGCATTTGAATTGATCGTTGCTGCATTCCTATGAAATTCTTTGAAATGACTGGCAAACTGTCACATTCTATTGTAGAAGATATCCTTTGGAAATCTACTTAATTCAGTTGTTTTAAAAACCCCAACACTGATATTTATGTTAATTATTATCCATTCACAGTTTCCCTGTCTGTTTGAAATGAATGTAAGTAGAAGTTGTGATATTTACATTTACCCTACATTATTGTTTTTACAGGTTATAAATATGGTCATGAAAATAAAATACATTTAGGGGACATTCATTCCATGTGTTGTGGTTACCTTCTTTTGCATTGTCTAACGTCTTTGTCTAGATTTTCCATTTATAGTAATTTCTGTATTTCTTCTTTGCTTGTTTTGTTCCTCAGTATAACTCCTAATACTGGTTACAGGAACCTTACCTAAGATGTTTCTATTCTTTGCTGATCTTATGTCCTTAGGACACTTCTTTCACTAGCACACATTTTGGCTGGTTTCAATTTGGTTATATTGCAGTGTGTATATTCGTCTTTGCACTTGTCTACTTATTATTGTTTTTCTGTGTAGGATCCGAGGATTTCACGGAGTTGAGTCTGAAGATGGCTGTCTTCTGGCTTGTTGCACTTTGTAGTCTGATCACAAATTTTATTTATTGGTCAAAGTAAAGCAGTCTCGCTACACGCCATGTAGGTCGTTGGGGGAGGAGAGATAGTATAACCTACTAACCTTGGCACTAGACAGGGATTAGTGGTTATACAAAGTGAAGTAAATATTAAAACAGAATGTAAAAGGGAATAGGCAAATAACACAACTAAAAAGGCAAGGTGGAGAAAAGAAGCCAATCTTGTCAAAATGCATATATTTAATAATATTTTAAAGATCAAAGTACAAACTAAAACCTAGTATTATTTCTGTAATGTTCTTAATAACTATTTGATAGGAATGTGATAAAAATATTTATTGCTTGTTATTTCTGACATTAACATGGGTTAGTGGTTCTAAAAAGTGAAACAAATATTAAAACAGAATGTAAAAGGGAACAGGCAAATAACACAACTAACAAGCCAAGGTGGAGAAAAGGAGCTAATCTTGTCAAAATGCATATATTCAATAATATTTTAAAGATCAAAGTACAATTGTACAAACTAAAACCTAGTATTATTTCTGACATTAACACAGGGGTTAGTGGTTCTAAAAAGTGAAATAAATTTTAAAACACAATGTAAAAGGAACAGACAAATAAGTTATAACACAATGCTTCTAATGACGAGCCCTCTTGTGTCCTTCCACAGCCACAGCACACGCAGCTTCTATATCTTTCAAATCACCAGTTGAAGCATTTCGCTTTCGTAGAGGAGTTGCATTTGGAGATTGCTGCTTTAACATTTCTACATCGTTGAAGACGACTTGTGCACCACCTCCACACGTTGGTATCACATCAGCCTGAAGGTGAGACCATAGTGATTAGCAGGTTGTAA